CTTCAATTATATATATATATATATATATATATATATATATATATATATATATATATATATATATATATATATATATATATATATATATATATGTTTATTTAGTAATTAATAAAAAGAAATTGATGATGATGATGAATTCTGGAAGTACGCAATCGGAGGAGGGTGATGAAGAGGAGTTTATTATTGATGATTCTAATTCTAATTCAGAATATTCCATCTCTTGATTATTCAACCCTTCATCATCATCATCAACCTCAAACACACACCAAAACACCACTACTACCTTTCACCCTCACCACAATGATCATCTCTTCTGGTCTGCTGGATTAACATCTCATCAAACCACCACGCCGGATTCCACCGTGAGAAAAAACCCCAAAAAACGAAGTCGTGTTTCCAACAGAAACCCCACCACCGTGCTCACAACTGACACCACCAATTTTACGCAAATGGTGCAACAGTTTACCGGTATTCCCGCCACCCCCCTCTCCGGCGGCCTGGATCTATTTTCCGCCCTACGGCCCGGTTACCAGTACCTGGACACTCTTTACGGCCCGGTTCATCCACTCAAACCCTCAGCCAACAAGGTTTCATCCTCTTCTTCTCTGTTATATCCCACCATGATCGATTCTGTAGTAACCACTGCAAACATTGTTAGCCCCACCACCAACACCGGTGATCCTGCCGCCTCTACTTCTTCTGACCATCATCACTTCAATCTACAGAATCATAGCATTATTAATCCGCTTCAGTTGGGAGGAAACGCATCGACGGGCTTCGGCGGCGCCGCTCTGATCAGTGGTTTTCAGACTCCCTCACCTACATCTCAAGTCAAGAATAATCATAATATATGATGAACACAGATTTACTGTATTGCTCTTATTTTATTTTATTTTATTGTATTATTGTTATTATTATTTGTATATATATTTGTTATATATATATTGTATTCTTATAATTGAAGATGTCATTGTGAATTCTGAAAGCCATCTTAGATTTCTTATTTTTTTGTTATCATATAACAACAAACAATCGAGCTGGTATAAATTCGTATTACAATTTACACGATCGACGGCATTGAATATCGATCGTATAACCAAGAAGAACAAGCTGGTATTCCTTTTCTTACACAGTAGTTTAGTTTTATTATTTTATACAACAGGCTTCATGGCTGAGATCATAACAAACATTCTATTTCTCGTGCTCGTAAAGTTAACGAGCCCACAAGACGTACACAGTTCTTCCAATTCTTTCTCCGACAAAAACACATGACTCCCTGAGATTTGTGCAATGTTCTGTACGTGCAAACCAAAAATATCAGCATAAAAATTATTTCTCAATTTCCAATATTTAAAAAAAATAAAAAAATTACCTGGCGTAGAGGTCTGCTTAGCGGAAGATACGAAAACAGGCCATCAACAATGTACGTTGTAGCAACAAACATGCCTCCAGGTTTCAGTACACGGCTTATTTCCGCAACCTATTCAAAGTGTAATAAATTATAAAAAAAAAAAATATTTAAAAAAAATATTAAAAAATTCAGATATGATGATGCTTACAGCTGAAGATGGTGAAGGCCAACAGTGCAGAGCAGCACCAGCATGTACAGCATCCACACTACTCGAAGGAAACGGAAGCCTCGAAATATCAGCTCTAACCATGATTAAGTTCCTGGTACAAAACAAAAAGTTTATTACAACAATCAAATTGCAATAACATTTCAAATTGTAAGAGGGGAAGGAACAAACAAAACAAAACCATACTCTTCGGGAAAGTTTTTATCCTGCTTAATGAAGTCGTAACATTGCTGCAACATTGTCTCGGAGAAGTCCAAAGCAACAACGAGAGAAAATAATCCGCTTTTGGCGAAAAGTCGTGAAAACATACCACTTCCACAACTTGCATCGATTATACTGCCACCTAGGACTGGTTTGAGGTAGTCCTTTATCAATTCAAACTGCAGCCAACAACCAAGATATGTGTGTATATATATATACAGACCGGTCATGTATATGTATTACGATCTCCCAATTAAAGAAATTAATTTATGGAAAATGTGGCTGATTACCTCCTTCTCGGGGCCAGGAAAACCACCCCAAATCGAAAAACTTTGCCTCCAACCCCTTTCGTAGAGAAATGATACCAAAGGGAACCTGATTGTTTAAGAAAATTATTTAATCAAGAACTAGGGCACAAGTGTTTATAACGAGTTAAATCAGTATCACAATTATTCAAATATATAACTCTTGTACCGGAAAAGCTCGGTAGAGGCTGGCATAGGTTCACCGTACACCTTGCCGCCGCCAGTTATTGTCAGGTCAAGATGCGAATCCTTGCCGGAGTATAACTTCTTGCAAGTTTTGCACTCCAAACTAGACCGAGCTACGGATTCCCTGCGAAATTCATTCTTTGGACATAAAACATATTCTTTGCAAAAATTCATGTTCGAAAGTAGCGGAAATGATTGCTTATGGGATCAAGAGATAAACACTTACAAAGATAAGTTAGAATCTCCGTTCCAAATAACTCGCTCGAAGCAAATCGGGCAAGCTAAAACATTTTTGCGAATATTCAACTTTTTCTCGTCGACAATTGGATCCTGAAATAAGAAGCCAATTTTGATTTGTTTTAGTTATATATATTCTCACCATTTTCATAAATTGAAACCATTGAACTCCCGAGTACAGTACCACTACCGAGTCCGCCGAATCAACTCAACATACAACCGAGTTTTCCAAAATAAGAAACAGGGAAAATGTAGTTCCAAATCAATAAATTAGTAACAATACTCACAAACCTAAAAACTTCAACGAATATCAAATTCATGATCTGGCAAACAAAGAACACACACACATATATACATATATGTATATATATAGAGAGATATATATAGAGAGAGAAGGAGAGTTACAGGAGTGGTTTCGATGACGACGGCAGCAGAAGAAGAAGCTCGAACTTTGTCGGTGAAAAGGCGGCGACGAATTCTTGCAGGAATCGAGAGAGGTGACTTAACTACACGCAAACAGGAAGGCATCGGGTTGAATCTGAGTCGACTCGGAAGCAAGGCAGCTGGTAGTGAAGAGGTGTTGTTACCAGTCCCCGCAATCGCCATTAATTTCGTCATAAAACTTCAGTTGAGCTCTGTTGACAAAAAAAAAATATACATACATTTGTATATGCTTATATATAAATTAATTATATATGAATCGATTTATTTATACACATAGAAAATGAGGTAGTTGACGTGTATCAACCATTGCCCAAAATTATTAATTGAGTATTGTAATGAAATTGAAAATGTGTGTGTGTATTTGTCGTTTGGTTAAGGTTTGAGAAATACTCTGCATATATTAAGGAGGCACAAAAACAGTGGCCGAACTGGTTCGGTTATGATTGGGCTACGGCCCTTTTGTTAACCAATCATTTTTTTTTAAATTTATTTTATAAAATACATAATTTATCTATTTACTAGATTTGTTAATGGGTTGTGTGAGTATTCTAATTTGATCTTAATTAGCTCAAAACATATATTTTTGCCAAACACGGCCCAGCCCCAATATCATAATTGGGAAAAAATTGGGGGTATTCTTTCCTTCCGGCCTGGCCTTTTTTTTTTTTTTTTTTTTTTTTTTTACATCCAATTAAAATTTTAAATGTTAATGTACAATGTGATTCTGATTGAGAAGCAATCCTACGTTTATGGGGACAACAAACTCGGCCTTTATTGAAGAATCAATGAATATGAATGGATTGCACTCTCACATTGTTACGTTAACTAACTCGCAGAAAAAAGTTTCAAAGTCGTAACAATGGCATTTGAAGTTTCTCTCTCTTTTAGTATTTCGTTACGTAATAGTGTATCTCTCTCATTCTCTCGTTGCGGACAAGAGATGCTTTAGTACTTTCTTCCATCAGCCAACATGCACGTGGGAATGAAATGCACCGTCCGCTGTCTTCACCTAATATGTTAGAGCTGCGTAACAGATTTTGTCAGCTCAACAAAATACCCTCCGCGTGCATGGCATGTGCAAGAAACTTTCCTCTTGATTCATCACCAAAGTGACATTTTCAAGTTTGTAAATCGTAATGCAAATTTCACAGCTATAATCTTTCAAAATGGGCTTGAAAAAAGATAGTCGGGAAGGAGTTATCCCTTCAAATGCAATCCATCTATCTTGTTTTTGTGACGGTGGTTCTCCATTTCTAGCTTATTTTCTTAATATTCTTGCATTTTTCGATTAAATAAAATAAAATTGTACATTTCAAGTGAAATATATATATATATATATATACTCATATTATTTTAAAAATTATAAAAAAGCACACCATTTCATCAATTAATTGTGGTTAAATGTAGAAGTTGAAAGATGAAAGAGGTGTGTGTGTTTCCCAAATTTGCTCAGACAAAAGAAGTTGGCATAATCATTACCCACGTGTTTTGTTGGTTTCTTTCATGTGATTTCAAATCTACATAAATCTCTATTTATTTATTTTTATATATAATTTTTCAAATTTGAGAAGATGCGTGATTACATCTAATCTAATCTTAAAAAGAAGATAATGGTAATTTATTCAAAAAAAAATCGTAATTAAGAATATTTTTTTATGACGTAATAAAATACCCAAATTGCCGATAGTATCCCCAACAAACAAAACAGCTCCGAAAATCTCGAAAAGGGCAATATCGTCATTTCATTAGTCTCACTTTGTCAGGTTTCACACTTCCCATCAGTACTCACAGTTCAAACGACAAGTAGTAGTAATACACACAGGAGAGCCATTTTCGATTTCGATTTCAATTTTCAAAAAATTAATTTATTAGCAGCAATGGACAAGTGCACGCCGGTGAGGAAGCCCCACACTTCGACGGCAGATCTGCTCACGTGGTCCGAGAATTCACCGGAATATTCCCCCGCCCCCGCTTCCTCCGCCCGCTCCTACCAGGTAATCCTCTCCATTTCTCTCGGTATTCCTCTCTTTTTTTTTCCCTTTTTTGTTGAGCCGTTGATTTAAAACGTTAAATGGAATTGCAGCCGTCGGATGGAATCAGCAAGGTGGTGTTTGGAGGTCAGGTTACCGATGACGAAGTCGAGAGCTTGAATAAAAGGTTAAGATCTAGCTTCTCTCCTTTCCTTTCATTTTTCCTCTTTTTTTTTTCTTTTAAATTTTGAATGATTTGATTATCTCTTGTTGGGCTTTTGCTTTTGTTTGCCTTTAAGATTATGTCTGCATTTTTGAATTGTAATTTGTAATTATTCATATTTTTGTACCTTTTGTATGATTTGATTTTGTTGTTGAATATGTATTTCTAAAGTAATAGGGCAGTCAAGTTTCAAAATTTATTGAATTACTGGTCTTAGTCGTAACAGAGCTTCTAGAAGATCAGGTTCTTTATGTTTATGATCACGAGATAGTTATGACCTCAAGACATAAATATCTAGATATTTTCTTTGATATTTGTTCCATGTATCTGTTTGTTGCATTCAGATGTATCAGATTCTCAGAGTTATCTAAATACGTTAAAAATCTTTGCAAAATCAGGTCGTTTGATATATAATGAATCAACCACCTTATACACCAATTTTAAAAAAAAAAAATTGAAGATATTTTTCTCTCAATGTGAACTATGTACATGCTAGCACCATATTCGAATGCCAGTTAAATCGAGAAAGCTTCTAAAATATGATTCAACTTAAAAAAAATATCCTTTGTGTTTCGAAATTCAGGAAACCTTGTTCGGGCTATAAAATGAAGGAAATGACTGGCAGCGGTATTTTCAAAGCAAATGGAGAAAATGGAGTGTCTCAAGAAGAGGACGATGCAAACAAAACTGGATTACGCATGTACCAGGTATTAATCTAAAGGCATTTGATTTAATGGTTGACTTTTTTACTAATCCAAACGCATTTGATTTTTATGGTTGACTTCTACCAGCAAGCCTTGGGTGGAATAAGCCACATTTCTTTCGGTGAAGAAGACACAGTCCCTCACAAGAAGCCATCCACGCTGCCTGAAGTTGCAAAACAACGGGAGTTGAGTGGAAATCTCGAAAGCGAATCCGAGGCAAGGTTGAACAAACAAATTTCCGATGCCAAGAACAAGGAGCTCAGTGGCCAGGATATTTTCGCCCCACCACCGGAAATTCAGCCCCGCCCATTGGCCGCTCGTGCTTTGGCACTGAGAGAAAGCATCACCATTGGAGAACCCACATCAAATAATGTATGTAAAGCCAAGACAACTGATATCTATAACAGTAAATTTTAAGTTATAATTCTTCCATTGTTGTCTGAAATTCTTGCATACTGAAAATCTGTCTCTTTCTTGGGGTGGTTGAGGACAGGCCAATGGTGGTTTGGGTGAAGAATCATTGATGAAGACGGCGAAAAAGATTCCTATCCAGAAATTTTCGGAGCTTTCTGGGAATGGTATATTTAAGACAGAAGGGCCGACTGCATCTGCAGACAAGCCGCTGAGTTCGGCAAAGTTGAGGGAGATGAGTGGCAGTAATATATTTGCCGATGGAAAAGCGGAATCTCGGGAACATTTTGGTGGGGTCCGTAAGCCACCTGGCGGTGAGAGCAGCATCGCCCTCGTGTAACTCATTAGATCTGACTAAAACTTTTTACTTTTAATCGATGGATTTGTGGGGTTTGGTTTGCTTTTTAGGTTTGATTAACGTCATCAAAAATTTATTTATGGAGTGGTGATTATGAAAGTTGACTATTATAACTAATCTTCTTTCTCTTTGCTTACTGATTTCCTCTCGCTTTGTTTTTTCGTTGTAAGAATTTGTTTTAGCTTGTGGAGTGTGGACGTGAAACGAGGAATTATTGTGTGTTAAATATTGTTTTTAGTAAATTAAATTCAGTACAAGTTGGGGAAATGTTTTATCCGATTCTTGAGAGAACGAAGGTTTCTGCATTGTACTAAATCATAAATGTACTCGGAACTAGCCTACGTTAAAAGGGTATTACTGTCAAAATGCAGCGTCGAACGAGAGTACGAGACGTAAGTAATTAGATAATTTTATTCATGGTAACTCGAGATTATTCAACCACTCTTCCAAAAGAGGGATATACTTAAAAGTTTACAAGGCCACACTTCAAAAAAACAAAAAGCTTCATATAGAGTCTGAAAATTTCAATTAAAAACCGCATGCAGAACACCAAATACTCGAACTCGAAACGTAGAAAGCTCAATCAAGCCTCCTCCTCGTGGCCAAGGAGGGCCAAGAGCATATTCTCATAATCTCCGGTGGTATCTTTGGCAATAGCCTTGTCCAATGGCACACTGCTCCTTTTCTGATACTCTTCTTTAATAATCTTCATGTCCACCTCAGCCCTAGTTGCCACAACTCTCGTCAGTGCTCCTTCATCGGTTCCTTGCCTGTTAATCGCAAGACGAAGGACTTTCTCAAAGTATTTCTCGGGGTTGACCAAGCACTTGACCGTTGCTCTCAGTATCGAAAGGTACTCGTCTTTCGCGTCAGCTTTCAAATCCTGCCACCACAATTTGGAATCAGCACCAAGATAATAACCATATTTGTAAGTTGCAATTTTTTATTTTATTTTTGTATAAAAACCTTGTTAATATCATTTCCGAATTCATTCTTGTATTGGTTGAGGGTAGCGTTGATCTGCGCTTTGCTCCTGGTGGACAAAATCCGAACAATGTCGTCGCAGCTGTATTCTTTCGCCGAGATTTTCTCGTGCAGAATCTTGGCTTCCGATTTCGCCAGAATCAAGTTCACATCATCTCCTCCATACCTGTATGAACTCACTAGAGGAACCAAAAGCTGTGTACAAATAGAATCAAGAAATCATGACCGAGAAATCTAACTCGACATGCTTTATCAATAGCGTTCTTATATATGTATGTACATATATAATATATACCTTGCGGAAGTCGCCAGAAGTGTGATGAGCAACATCCTCCTCGAGGGATTTCTTGAAAAGAGCGTGATAAGCTTCCCTTGCAAGAAGGAGCTCTTTGGGAGACCTAGCGCAGGCGATCTCCACGAGAACTTGATTGCTCGAAGTCCATTTCTTTGTAGCTTCGTTAGCCAAGTACGCATCGTCCAGTGTCCATACCTTGACAACCCTCTGGTTCAGACATTAACGCGAACACAACAAATGCATTAGATTTGGCTTCATTTTATTACACACTTGATAGATAAATCAAACAATTTCATCCAATATAACATACAAAAAAGGACAGGACAGAACAGAAATGAAACCTCGAAATCGCTAGTAAGTTCCTTATCCAATGCTTTGAGCAGATCTTCACCGTAAGTCTCTGCGTAAACTTGCCTGATTAGCTTTCGCTGGGCGGCGTTTCTGTGGCCTAAAATCGATATGATCAGCCCCTCATTGGTTCCCCATCCTGCCAATAAAATCAAATATTATACAATTTATATTATATGGAAAGATCAACAAAGTATCAGTCATACAATACAAGAGAGGGCTGAGAATGAAAAAGAAAAACAGATCGATCATCTCAGATCAAACAAATAAATCACAAACAGATCGATCAACTCAGATCGATCAAACAGATACATATTATAATTACATCGTTTTCTTTTGCCGGTATTCTAATGAATAAAAAAAAACGTATCAAATCGCAGACATGTTTCCATGTAATTCAACAAAAAAATCAGACATAATCAATGTATGATCAAACCTGAAAAAGCTTTGTGGAGCTGCTCGCAGTCTTCGGCTACAGACGGAACGTGTGATGGTACACAGAGAGTCGACATTTTTTGGGAAATTTGGTGTGTGTGTGTGTGTATGTTGATCTGAGTAGTGTATAAAAAATCGAAAACGCGTAGATAGAATAGAAAGGCTATATCCGTTTTATTTATATATATATATGTATATATTTATGAGAGGAGAGAGAAGGTGGCATTACATAGGGATTGGAGATATTGTTCTACGTATTTCCTTACCTGACACTATATTTTATTTTATTTTATTTCATTTCATGTAATGTAATAAAAATCTACTGTAATAATTCTCGTCTGGATTTTATTTTTCATTCACCACCAAATAAATAAAATAATTTTTTTGGTAAATATTGTTCAAACATGAATCGTGTGTTGGGAGCAATCGTAGGAAGGTTGTAAGGATCGTAATTGTATCTTTGTTGCCCCCCACTGAATTGACACGATATTTCGGTGTTTATTTATTTTATTTGCATTACAGGTGTCCTTTTTTTTTTTTTTTTTTGGAAATTGTTTTTAGTACTTTAAATAGATTTGAAAATATTAATTTAACTAGGCCTTGAAAATAAAAGAAGATAACATTCAGATCAGAGATGTAGAAAGTCTCTGATTTTTAAATCTGGAATCCATACCCACTACACGATCAGATCAACTACCCAATTATCTAATTAATGTCAATTAAAATGTGATGGGCCCTATAAAGAAAGGAAAAAAAAGGAGGAATATCCCCATTTTTATGCCAAAAAAAGAAGGAGGAATATCCCCATTTTTATGCCAAAAAAAGATACACCCGGTGCACACACGTAAAGACGTATCCAGTGTATTTTACTCGGTGTAGCTTAGTACAAACCAAGAATAAAATGTTCCAAGACAATCAATCATTAGTCGATATAAAATAATATTTTCAAACGTTGGAGAGTAACAAGCTAAAATATCTAAATGGCTAGTAATATGGGTTAATTGCAAATCACACCAAAACAATTGATCAAAAATAAGCAGTAACCAGATCTATAATAGCTACCTCACAGCCACAACCAGAGTCTCACCTGCTGCTGTAAAACCGCATTGTCAATATCGGCTAGCAATCTGACAAAGATCTTACAAAGTTGGTTCGACAAAACATTATGCTCAGCTGCACCAGCCACACTTGACACGGGCACCCGCAATATAACAGGTTCGCTTTTGAAAAACAGGTTTATTTCTCAAAAATCAGCGTTAAGCAGGCATATTACAACATACATGTAATATCAAGAATTTCCATTCATTTTAGCCTTACCAATCAAGAAATGGCCAGAGAGTTTGTTAAGAAACCCTTTAGAGACCATCACCAGCAACAAATTATAACAATCAACGGCAATATAAATGCAGCACCAACAGCTACTGCTGCATCTTGTGCCAATCAGCAACTACTCCTCACCGAACACAAACTATAGAAAGCAGTAAAGGGTTTTCAGATGAGTCAAACGTTCAATTACCATTTAAGTTCAAACATCAAATTCAATAGTCAAGAGACACACCATTGGAATTAGAGTACAGAAACTATCAAACTGAAACAACAAATGGATTCAGTACAATAAAAAAGGAGTACATCGTAGTAACCTTTTCCAATAATCTCAGGAGATTACTCATTAGCAACCACCACGTACATGATAACAAAGATTGGAGTTACAACAGAAATGCAAATGCTGCCAAACACAGCACCATATCATACATCCATCAAGCAGTACCTTCCCCTTTCATACCTGAAAAAATACAAGGGAAAAAACAAGATCCAACATGCTACATTGAAAAAAAGATCTTAATCAAGCAAAACGAAAAGAGAGGGAGCTAGTAATTACATCAGCCTCAGAGCGAGGAGACGGGCTTAAAGAATCGCGACGACCACGAGGAGAGACACTTTTAGGGGTGATTGACCTTTCTTTTTGGTTACCAACATCTGGACTAAGACCCTTAGAAGGAACTTCTTTGTTTGGAGATGGACTCCTCCGTGGACTAGGACTTCGTTTAGCAGGAGAAGCACTGTACAAACATAATAAACAAAACCAGAAATCATTAAGTAGTTACATATAACCAATCTCTCCTACTTATGATTATGAATGAACTCAAATCATGTACGAAGACATTAAATATATACCTTCCATTGGACTGACTTCGTCTACGTTTGTCATCATCATATTTGCCTCTTCCTCTTTCCCTGCGATAACCAGGACTTCTGCTGCGGCTTCGGCTTAGAGATCTGCTCCTGCTTCTGTGGCGAGAATCACGATCCCTGCCGCGGGGTCGCTCGCGTTCACTTCTACCCCTACTTCTACTGCGGCTTCTCCTTCTGTGATCCCTGTCTCTATCCCTATCCCTGTCCCTGTAATCACGCGTATACATCAATTAATTTTCTTTGAGAGCAATTGAAATGAAGTAACTCAAGAATCCAGTTAATTTTCTTTGAGAGTAATTGACATGAATAACTTCTATGAATCTTAAAGCAGGCAGGAATAATGCTTTAATAAAGGAGAAGTGGAGACGTAAAAATTAAACCAGAATAATGCCCAAGTTTGTTCATGTTCCATCCAACTAATGAAGTAAAGACATATTAGTTATCAAGAAAAAATGAGCTTGCATGCAAATACTTGGGACCAAACAGTATTGAGATGGTGAAAACAGCCAAAACAGTTTACTGATACAACAGAAATCTATGATAGCAATAACTATATAAACACAGTTAAACTATTAAAGATAGAATTAATCTGCGATGTTACCAACCAAATGTCTTATGCACAATGCAAAAACATAAATTCCAATGGCGACATGTATAAGAATAAAATCAGAGTATCCTACCTTGGACGAGGACTGCGGCTCCTTGACCTTCCTTTGGACTTGAACTCAGGTTCCTCGATTCTCCCTTTGTGACTGATAACAAAAACCACTCAAGTTAATACTGGACTAAGAAAAATATCATTCCTAGTATAGAAGTTTCAAAGAGAAAGTTAAGCCAGTAAAGAAGAAATAAATTCATCTCAAAATCTTAAGCAGGGTTGTAAACAGGTAGTTAACCAACTTACATTCGTTCAGCATTATTGAACCATTATTTCTCTCCCATCAACAACTCTTCCTGCGTGTGAGAATAGAAGATTATCATAATGTAGAAAACATTACTTGCACTTATTCCTTGCACCAAGGACTAAGCATTTCACTTTTTTAATCCAACTCACCATCTAGCTTCTCGACAGCCTTTTGAGCCTCCTCTGGGTATTTATACCTCACAAATGCAAAGCCCCTCGAGTCTCCAGACCTAAATTGAAGAATTATATACAGCACCTCAGGTAAGGAAATTACTCGAATCTATTTACTGGCTAACATAATTACTAAAAGCCTACAACAACTGTCAACAAACTACAGGGATATGATAATACTAAATCCATAAAAATATACAAAAAAAGATAAAAATCACTCACTAATTAAAAGAGGAAACTGATATTTAAAACAAAAAAAAAAAGTAGTACACAAATAATCTCGAAACAAAATCAAGAAACCTACAGAAACCCATAACTCAGTATTTTGAAGAAAACTACATTTGACATTTAATCAATTTTAAAACCCGACAAAATAACCTTGCAGAATCCCATTTCTTCAGAGTGTTCACACACATAAAACGTTTATTATATATTCACAAACAGATAAAGATACCTCCGGTCTCGGGGGATGAACACATCGACAACTTTTCCGTACTTATCAAAGAGCGGAAACAAGTCATCTGCAGTCGTCCCTGAAAAAAAAAACCCTAATTTTCAGAGGAAAAACAAAAAATACGCAGAAACAATTTAATCAGCTTGAAAAAGCAAGTAATTGAAGTACATACGAAAAGTAATGTTGAGGACGAGAAGGGAGAAGGTGTCTCTGATGTCCGGCGGCCCGGATCTTCCAAAGTGCGACATCGTTTGTTTGATGTGTGAAAAGAGGGATTAGGTTTCCTACCTAGGGTTTCGAATTTGAGGCTTATGAGAAATGTTCTCTTGACGTACTTCTATATAGATTAGATAATTCGATTTCTGGCTCTTTTGTCATTTCATAATTAAATTAATTAATAATTCGATTTAACATTATCTTTCAATTATAGAAAAAGTAATAAACATGCGTAATTATAAATTAGATAAAATTACTCAATTCACTACCAAATGACTCTTCTTTTAGTTCATCACTATACAAGCCCCAGAAATTAAAAAATATTTAGATATTATTTCAATTACAATTAAAATTGAAAAAAAAAACATTTTTTTAAAGGTTTCTTAAATTAATCTACAAGTGGTGTGCTTGTGAATTTTTGCCTTCAGTTTGTAAAAGTTGGAATTTGACGTTGGGCGATGATATTTTATTATGGATGTAGGTTAGATTCGAAGAAGGTACGAGAAGCGATATACATACGAAAAAACAATTCAATATCTGGTGATGTAAATCCAACCATTGTCAATAAACAAACAAATCGGTGTGATTACATAAAGGGTGAAACGAGAAATCACACTAAAACTAGTCTACCCGGAAGATCATCGGAAAAGTAGGACAAACAATAAATTATGCTCATCAAGCATATTCCATATTTTCAAGTTTGGCATCTAAACATTACTCCGCAAAAACCATCACCTATTGGATATGATAGATAACATAAAGATTAATAGTTATTACAACAATCCGATTCTGCAACAAGGCTAGAAAACATACGTGGACAGAATAGTTAATACTATGTCACAAGTTTTAACTAGAACCTTAATACGAACTCGAACATATGTTTAATACTAGAACCTTAATACTAACTCGAATTGAAGTTAACACTCTGTCAAAAGTTGACACAAATACGAATTGAAGTTAACAGTTAATACTAATCAAACCATCCTCTAGACAAGCTT